TTGGATTCAGGGCATTTGTGTCCAAACTGGATCCTAATTATGTTCTCCCTACAAGGTCGGTATGTATGGATGCATGCATGAAACAGATGTGTACTTTGTTGTGTCTCACAGTTCAGCACTAAATATTTAGTAGGCCATGATGGAGGCCAAGTATGAGTCAGCTAAGGAGAAGGCTACGGCTAAAGTGGAAAAGGTGGCTGCTGTGAACCTTGCTTCTGACATGTGGCCCTTGAGGGGGGGGGCTATGACGGGGGCTGAGCCGGCGACTCCGGAGGTGTTCCGTGTCCCAGAGCCGCCGGCAATATGGATGCCTACCTGGCTGTAAAGTGCCATTTTGTGGGTGAGAAAACCACTCAGTTCAGTGCTGTTAAGAGTGCAGGCATTTCCCCTAATCAGACACTGCTGAAAATATAGCTTGTGTGAAAGCCCTGATGGAGGAGTGGGGAATTGCCAATAAGGTGACATGTGTGCTCACTGATGATGCTCCCAATATGGTTGCCTGTGTGAGAGAGCTGAAGCTTTGGCACCATAATTGCGTTGCACACACGCTGAATCTGATAGTGAAGAAGGCACTTGACCAGCAGCCTGTGCTCTCTGGTGGGCTTCTTTAGAAGCAGCACCACTGCTAAGGTATGCGCTTTCCCTTTATTCCAATTTCATTTAACTCTAAGAGTTTGTCTGTGTTCCTACTGCAGTGATTTAATGGCCTACTCATCTGTATCTTTAAAGGATAAGCTTACACAAGTGCAACTTCATCTGGGGATGGCAAACATGAAGCTAATGCAAGAAGTGGAGAGTCAGCCAGTAGGAGCGGCGTTAGCTGGGTTACAACGTGACATCCCCTTCCTAACAGCCAAAGAGTTCAACATTGATGGAGGTGCCTTTCTTTGCTGTCTCCCTTCTATGATCCACTGTAGAGCTGTCGGCAGAGGAAAACGTGCCTGCCTCCAAAGTTGTCCCCCTAGTGAAGATGCTGGAGGACACCCTTCAGGAGGAAATGACAAAGCCGGCACCTGCAGCAGCGTTGGAAATGGGAGACCTACGGTGGCCCTGAAGTACAAAACACAACGGAATTAACTTCTTACGGAAAGGGTAGGGCCTTATAGCAGAGGACGGACCCTTCTGATTGGACAGACGGACTGTCTGTCTTTGTTAACAACTATTTTAGACCCTTTTTAGTGTGGCATTAAAATACAACCCTATTCGTGTGTAACATTATTATAAAACCTGAGACTAATGCTGCTGTTATTTACATCAGACCGCTCAGAGTGAGTGCACAGTAAAATATCACAATCATATACGACGAAGGATCTTTGTTTGACTGAGAACGTTATCAGTTGTTCTGACTGAAAGTCAGACTACAAGCTGCTGTTATCAGTCGTGCTTGTTGTGTTTCATTGTACTGAAATACAGCAAGAGAAGTGATTAAACCCCATTAAAAGGAGACAAGACATGATCCTTGCTGTAATCTGATTATCTGAGCATTTCTCAGTGAAGTTTCTCACGTCTGAATTACATGATTTTCTCCATTTTGTGTAGTGAATTACTGTCCGATGGTTTTACTGTTTTCACTGTTTGAATTACTTGTGTTTTGCAAATTAAATGTTGTTCACAGCAAAAGAAGGAACCTAAACTTCACTGAGCAGAAGTCTCACTGCTTTGTCTTCAGTCATCATTCAATAGGAGATCGTTCCTTTGTTACAAAGAAATAAAATGTAAGACACGTCGCTTTAGTGTTTTGAAAAGCTCTTAAGACTGAGATACACATCAAATAAAACCTATAACATGCTAGTTTGAGTTGCCACTGAGCCACAGTTGTGTGTGTGTGTTTTACAACACTCCCTCGCTGTAAAACACACACACAACTTATCATTTTATCACATGGAGGTGAAAAAAGGAAAATATATGTTTTTCTATTTTCGGTTATCAATTGTTTTATAAAACTAAATTCTACATATAACATTTATTCTCTGGAACAGACAGAAGCAGAGAATCAAATCTTCCCAGAATGCAACCTGATTTCTTCTCCCACTTTCTGTCTCTGGCAGTTCATGAGGCTTTTATGGCTGCACCTCCTTCAGGAGTCGGGACCAGTCCCAGAGCGCCTCTGCTGGACACGAACAGCTCTTCCCTCTGTGCCGCTTCTGGGAATCACCTGATGAGGCCGCTGGGTTTCGTCTTGGTGTCTAGTGTGTGACACACAGTTCTGCCACGATGTGCATATTATGACAAACACAACTTATATCTCTGCCTGAAGCTTCTTGCCCTCCTCGCTGTGCCACATTCCTGGAGTCGGTATCTGCCGTAACCCGTTTCTCCCCCAACTATGCGCCATTCGCACCAACTAGGAGCGCCCGCCTCTCCTGTAGGGGGCACACTTTGCTTTTAACACATATAAAAAGAACAAAAATAAGTTGTTTTAATACATGGACATGAACTTAAATGCGGCTCATACAATACATGTATGCATTTTGGGGGTTGGACATGCTGACAATAGGAGATCAAAGCACCCGCCTCATGATTAGAGGACGATCTCTACCAACTGAGCCACAGCTCCTACTGGCTGTGTTCTTCTAAGTCGCTTTTGAACGACTTCAAAATAAGTAGAAGACAACTATCACTGCCGATAATGTCGTTTTTATGTCTTTGAAATGGACACGTTTACAATTTCATAATCAGGCCACAAATCCCTGATTGAACACGTCATTTGGTGTTTGTAACGTGGGTCTGTGAGGAATCCAGGAGAGTTTCAATATTCAGTCTTTATTTACTGTTTTAATACAACACACATCCGGCTCCAGCCTCTTCGCCTCGCTCAGTCCTCCTCGCGGTCGCCGGATCTCCCCTACTGAAGGCAGAACACACACTGATAAATTCCACCTGAGGCCAATCATGCCTCCTCCCCTCTCCGTCCCCTCTGCAGCTGAGCCAAACCACGCCCGCCACCACAGTGTTGTAATCATGTTGTTCAAGATTTCTGATGTTGATGCTCAAAGACACACATTAAAAATTGTATGTATGCTCGAACTGCACACTAAGTTTGAATTTGAAATCCTGCAACTCTATATTGATTAGTTATCTCAACTAGACGGAGACGCAGACCTTGGAGAAGCCTTGACGCATGTCTCGTGTGTATATGTCATGAATTGGGAGACTAAGATGCAGACCTTCCACCTTCATGCATAACGTGTGTGTGTCGTCTCAAGTATGTAATTCAGAGGGCTGAGACGCAGACCTCCGAGCAGCAACTCAACACACGACTTGTTTCAACTCTGCTCCTACTTCTAGTGTTCTTTAATAAATGTCCTGTTCAATGATTTTACACACGTGTTGATTAGGACGGTCTTAATCAATGCGTCGCATGGTTTCTTGTCTTATGAAAAGTAAAACCCTCTTCAGATATCTGTGAAGAATCACTGCTTTGCCCCTAAAATGTTCACTCTTCTTGCTCTTTTGTTGGACGTCTGCAGGTCAAAGACTCGTCCATTTATCCTCAGAGACAACAGAGAACACTGAATATTCAGATCATTGTAGATACTACGACCACAACATGTGCTGATAAGACGCAGGATTTACAAATGTTATTTTGTTACGATAAAATGATCTCAGGCGATGTGAGTCTTCCATTTGCAGCAACTCCCAGCATGCTTTAAACCAGTGAAGTGAAGAACATGACGTTTAGAGTCCAAATGAAAACAACATGCATGTGATTGTGGCTGCAGTCACAGAGGGGAAGCACATGGAATCACAACAACACACAAACATCTGGAGCATTTATTGAACAGCAGGACAAAGGTACAAAAAGGGGAAATGGAGCAACTTCATTCCACCTTCATCTACAAAACAAGAAGTGATTCAGAGCATCACTGTTCAACTCCCACGAAACCAAGAAGGAAAACATCCCTTGATCCGAAACAGCAGCAAGAAATAGTCAATAACATTTCAATCAGTGTGCTCGGATGCTTCAAACCCAAATTTAAATAATATGATACTTTAAAAGTGATCAAAAGGCGTTATGAACCAATAAACACACTGATTTATTTAGAAAACCCTCAAATTATTTTCTTCAACCTGTTAAATTGAATCTACTGAAAAGAAAAATACAAGCAAACTATTTACACAATCAGAAAATAAATGTTGTTTTAATGTCTATATTTTGTGTGTGTGTGTGTGTGTGTGTGTGTGTGTGTTGGGGATGGACTCCCTCCCCGTCCACACAGAGAGCTGGAAGCCAGTTTCTCACCAGCATGAGACGCAGACAGACAGACAACCAGCTCACAGAGTGTGATGGAACCCAACGTGTGTGTGTGTGTGTGTGTGTGTGTGTGTGTTTACACGTTTGTTACCAAAAATGATTCAACCCAAACAGCAGAAGTATCAAAGAGTAAATATGGTGGATTTGTTTGAGATGAACACACTAGTCTGTGAGCACTTTGATACTTTCATTGATTTTAACGTCTCCTGAAATAATCATCCTCGTTTTATTTCATTTCAACCTTTTTATTAAAACCAAACTATCCAAATAATTAAAAGTGACTATTGATGTTTCCTCAGTTTCCAGATGTTCACCAACCCTGATTCAGACGTTTAAATGAAAGATGAATGAGCCATAAATTGACAGTTTATGGAGAAGAATGTGGAGCATCGCTTGTTGATCCAGAGCAATATTCACCCATAAACCTAAAGAGAGAAACAAATACATAAAAGAGAAAACTAAATCATTTACCACAAACTACTTTGACTCCATTTTGATAAACATGTGTTAGTGAGTTCCTAGAAGTTAATGTAAGAGCTTTGAATATCAGACTTTATCTGAGGAGCTGATGTGAAGCTTTCTGTGTCTTTCTCTTAATAATCTCACGTCTCACGGAACCAAACTGCACCTTTGTTGTAGAAAAAGTCAAAGACTTCTTTACATGAGAAGCTCCTTGTGCTCATACTGAGGGCAGCTTTGTGGAACAGCAGCTGTGAATAGTTCATGTCCACGTGGAGCTACTCACTGTGTGCAGGACGCCGACTTCAAGGTTTAGGGTTCAGTTTGTCCCTGAGAGACTCTTCAGAGCCGTCAGTAGAAGCAGAAGAGCATTTGCTAAATTATATTTGCTGAAATAAAAAGCAAAGAGAATTTCAGTGTTTAGTGTTCTAACAGCTTCCTCCCAGCAGATACAATCTCAGTTTTTTAACCTATTTCTTCAACTAAAAGCTAAAATGACTTTTTTTAAAAAGAGCTAAACAGCCTGAAGAACGTGTAGAAACAACTAACTACGTTTAAGTGTCTCAAGCGCAAAACAATCACAGAATTGTCTAAAAGTAAAATGGCACTAAACAATAAATGCAGAATAAAAGCAAATATGGTTTTATAAGTGTGACTGGTGAAAGTTGCTTCAGTGTCTCATTCTGGATAAAAGCATCAACTCAAAGCCTAAAATCCAATGCTGCTCAACACTGTGTCTCTGATCGTCTCTCTCACCGTTCCTCTTTCTGTAAACCTTGAATCCAACCACAGCAGCGATGATGACGACAAGAACAGCCACAGCGATGATGATGATGATGATGAAGGTGGAGCCAGCAGGCTTCTCTGTGGAGCACAAAACAATGAAAGAGTCTCAAGCTGAACAGATGAAGCAGGTCAGAAGAGAAGAAGATCCACTTATCCAGCAGACCTGAACACACACACCATGTGACGTCATTTCTTTATGCCGTCTGCACATGATGACTGAGACACATATTCAACCTCCTTCCTGAACTTTGCTCTGTCTGATTCACTGATGGATACATGTATTAATACACGTGTTTAATCATTCTGTCTTCTCATCTTTAAGTGACCAGTAGTTGTGTGAATGCAGATTCTACAACGTCTGAATTGTGGTGACACGTTACAATAGTTCAGCACGGACTCAAATAAAGCTCTTACCTGGAATGAGTTTACAAAAGGATGAATAAACTTATTTACAGAGAAATGAACCAAATATTGACACATTTATATATTAATCTAGACCAGTAAACAGTGTTCATAACTCTCGCTGTGTTTAATTCGGATCCGAGTCTTAAAATGACTACAAATAAAAACTAGACTAGAAATGTAAGAAAACAAAACTTCCCAAATCTAAAACACACAAAGTGGACAAAGTGGATGTTTGCTTCCCTCCTTCACCGCTCCGGGTCTCAGACCTACCCGTGTTGGTCCTGGTCTTGTCCAGTTTGGTGACGATGTCCTCGTCCACACCAGACAGCTGGAACACACAGTCGTACCTCCTCCAGTCTTCAGCAGGGACGGAGGACAGTTTCAGGTCAACCCTCATCTGGAAGGTCCCGTCGTGGTTGGGGAGGATCTCTCCGAGGTCCACGTCCTCATGGAGCTCCTCTCCATCTTTCCTCCAGAAGAGGGCGGCTCTGTCGGGGTAGAAACCTGTAGCGTGGCAGCTGACTGGAGAGGAGGGAGTCTTCTGGAGGAGAGACACCGAGGGACGCTCTGGAGACAGAAGAGAGGGACAGGTTACATCTTTATTATTATCAATGATATTTAGTGTATTAATATCATTCATCTTTGATGTATTTAAAATGCCTCTTTAACACTCAACTATGTGTATTTTAAGTTCACTAAAAGAATGAAATGTCTTTAAAGTTTCATTGATTAAAGAAGGGAGACAAACAGATGAAGAGGGGTGAGACGGATTGGAGGGGAGGAGGACAGCGTGTGAGAGAGAGTAAAGAGACAGTGAGACGGACAGAAACACAGCAGAGACAAAGAGAGGATGGAGGGACAGAGTGGGGACAGGTGTGAGGGGGGAAGTGAGGGAGGGAGTGCAGTGAAGGAGAGAAGGAGGTGAGGGGGGAGAAATGTGGGAGACACAGTGGGTCTCTGTGTGTCTCTGACATGTTGCTATGAAACAACAGAAGGTTTATGAGCATCATGTCCATGGAAGGACATCAGGTCATGTGATCCTACCGGTTCTCATCAGAGAGCTCCTCCCGTAGTTCAAGTGCTTCTTCAGCCACTCAGGACACACATGAGTCAGGTAGTTCTTGTTCTGTGCTTTCAGAGCTCTGTTATGATCCCACTTCTGTTTGATGCGGACAGCCTGCTGTTTTGCAGCGATATATTGCTCTGTCTGCAGGTCAAATGATATGAAGTCTTCTCCATCATAACCAAACTGATCATAACCCTTGACCTCATTGGTCTCATCATCCCATTCACATCCGACCATCCTCTGGTAAATGTGGACACCTGAGAGAGAGAGAGAGAGAGAGAAAACTTTGCCAATGTGTTAAAAAGTCACAGTCTCCTTGTTTTGTTTAAAAAAACAAAATTACATTTCAAGTAGGGGTGTAACGATTCATTTTAACAACGATTCGATTCGAATCACGATTCATGGACAATCTGGGTTCATTTAAAACGATTTGATTCGATTCAGTGACTTGAAATCGGTTCAGTAACTTTACTGGACAGTGAAGGCAAAGTTTCTGAGATCGCTGTTGTTTCTTGTAAGGAAATTAAATTAATTATGGATATTATAAACAAGCAAACAACAATTAATGGCAAATGTATTAACCTTTTATTTGAATCAAGTGCCATTTTCAATGTAAACATTACACAATAATTACACAATGTTTGGATCAATTCACAGAACCCCGGATTTTGAACCACATTGTCGGGTCGCATGTCTTTACAGATAAACTTGTTACTGTGATGGTGAGTTTGGTGCTGGCGAGGCCTGAGGCGTCTGCAGAGCTGCGTTACCTGCTGCTGCTGCAGCAGCAGGTAACGCAGCAGGTAAATCGATTAATCGATTCAGTGAATGAATCGTTACACCCCTAATTTCATGCCATAAAAAAAAAACACCAATTCATTTTTTCCACTGATCACAACATTATTAAAACACCAACGTTGTTTAAAAGTGTCTACGTCTCCAATGTGTTTATAAACAGAACTCTAGCCAGAGCCTGAACCTGACGTTCACCAGCCACACTGCTCTGGCCTCCTGCCCCTGTCTGTTCTTTTACTGGAGGCGACAGCACCGTGTAAAATTCTCCACTGGAGGTCGGCAGTCCGTTTCTTGAGGGGAGGTTTGTATAAAATCCTCCACTGTGGCCCCTGTCCATTTTGTCCCAGTCTGTGGGACCACACAGTGGGGAGCCTGTCGCACAGTCCGGACCGGTTTATGCCCTTCACACAGTTAAAATACAGAGTCTTCTTGTCTGCTTTGTGCAATGTCAGCGCTTCGGGGCGTGTTGTGGCGAGCAGGGGGCCGGTGAGTTCCCCTAGTCCTGGGCTCAGGTAGATCTCGGGGAAGGGGTCTGCAGGGTCCGGCTCCACATCTTTCTGGCTGTAGTCTGTGAGGAGGCTCCTTTCCTCCTCAGTCAGCCTCTGGTTCCACAGCTCCAGGAGCCTCCTGGCCATCCGGACGGAGTGCAGCCCCAGCAGAGAGCCCAGGGCCGGGGCGTCGCTCAGCGTCGGCCCCACTGCGTCCACCAGCTGCTGCAGGCACAGGACTCGTGCTTTCAGCAGCGCCCCCATCAGGCCTGGGGTACCACTGCTGCTGATGTCCAGCCTTGCTCTGTAGATCAAAGGTTCTCTCAACAACCAGTACAGAGAGAAAGACTGTGGGCACCTTTTATGATTAAAAAGGGCCCAAGACTTAAAAACACCCTGATAAAACGGAGGTAGCCCATTTAACTTAAAAAATTTAGAATCAATTAAAAACAGAGCAGGATCCATTCTCGGATTGTTTGCACGTCTAAAAATGCAGCTGGCCACGTCCCTCCATACTAAAAACTCCGGACCTGTGAGATATTTCTGAAAAAACTGGAGTCTAAAAGTGGTCGTCCGGCTGGCCAGGTGGACGAGGCCCTGTCCCCCCTCCTCTCTGGGTAAAAACAGCACCCCTTGTGGCACCCAGTGTAGACCCCCCCAAAAGAAATCCACCATTTTCTTCTGTAAGTTGGCAAGGAAGCCTGAGGGAGGGTCCAGGCAGGTGAGACGGTGCCACAGCTGGGATGCAATCAGGTTGTTTAAAACCAAAACTCTACCTTTAAAAGACATTTGAGGGAGCAGCCATTTCCATTTGGAAAGTTTCCCCTCTATCTTCTCTGTGACGCCCTCCAAGTTCTTCTGGACGATGCTCTCTTGTCCCAGATAAATCCCCAGGTATTTAAAACCATCTTTCCTCCACACTAGGCTTTGGGGAAGAACTGGGAGGCCGCCACGCCATTCACCGACAGCGAGGGCTTCACTTTTTTTCCAGTTCACCCTCGCTGCCGATGTCTTACTAAAACTTTTCACAATGTTATTTAAAAGGTCCTCATGCGCGAGGCCGGCTTAACGCTGCTGTGCCCGACCTTCTCCCCCACAGCCCGATGTCCTCCACGCTGCACGAGAAGCCAGCGACGATATTAATGCCGTGCTTCCTCGTGAGCTGGGAGAACGTGTCTCCATTTACCGTCTAGAGACGCCGACCGGCGAGACACCGGTAGGAGAGAAGAAACCCAAAGAAAAAACAACAACAACTAACCCCACAACTAAAGTGAAAAACAACCACTAAACCACATTAAATTAATACATAATAACCCTAAGGGAAAAAACAAGAGAAAACCGCTCACTCAGCGACGCTCACACACACTCGTGCACCGAGAGAGAGAGACCAAAAGAAGAGAGAACATGTTGAAATATTTGCTTGATAAAAGACTTCAGTCATCATCTGATTATCAACATTCATGTTGATTCCTTTTCTGTTCATCGACTAATTGATTCAATGTTTCAACACTAAATATCCTGAATGTTTGTTCTAAACTCACTGCAGTCCACTTTAGTTCATTAACTCTCATCTGTATCATACTCCAGATTTGGGGCTCAAACTAATTATTCTTGTCTTTGCAGATGATGTAATAACTATTTCTAATGAATCCATGAATTGTTCACACTGTAAAATGTCAGAGAGGCTGATGAAACCTTGGAAGTGCTTCTTCAGTGTGAACAACACTGAGCAGTATTTCATTCATCACCATTTCAAACAGACAAGAGGAAGAAGTCGTCTCAGTGAGGAACCTCAACTAGAACATGTTGGACGTCATCTGATAAAACCTGGAATGAAATACTGAAGCATCGACTCCCTGAGCTCAAGTAAAGCTCATCTAATCTAAGCTGGAGTTCTAATCAGGATGAGAGGAAATCTTCTTCATCCTGAACAACACGGAAAAGTATTTATTGTGTTTATATACTTATATTTAGGAACTGGAAGCAGAACATGTTTCAGTCAAGAAAAGATCTCAGACTGTTTAATCTCTCTGTGTGTGTGTGTGTGTGTGTGTGTGTGTGTCACACAGGACATGTGTCCTTTATCACATAAAGGTTGCAAATACAAACAAAAAGTGTGAAAAACAAACAAACCTCCAGTTTGGTTGAAGCGTTGTTTTGCTATTTCAATGTGGCCTTTGTAGACCTGCTGGGCGTCCATAGCGAGCTCAGTGTTCCTCTTCCAGAACTGAGGATCATCCTCTGTGACTCTGCTCATCCAGTCCTGTCTGGGTTCTGCTCTCTTGGTGTCACTGTCATAGTGACTAAACTCAACTTCATCCAGCAGCCCAACAATCACAAACTCTGGGAAGTTTGGGACTCCAGAGGACGCAGTGAGGAAATACTTCAGCGAGTGAGTCACTGGAACCAAAAAGGAATCATCATCAGTTCTGATGTCACACTTTAATTAATCAATAATTATGTTGTTTTCCTGCACACAGAATTAAAAAGAAACACAGAACATCAAAGACACCCTGATAACATCTGCTGTGTTTAACAACTCAATAAATACAGAAATAAATGTTTACTTTGATATTTATGATGATTCAGCTTTTAAAAACAGACGTTTCTTCTTGTGAGGTTTTAAACAATAACTTTGAACTCAGAGTTTCTTGAAGTGAAGTGGAGACACAAACAAGTTAATAAAGGTAATTTATTTGATCTTTTAATTGCTGTTTACATTTTTTATATTCAAATAAAAATGAATTCATTTTCGTTTTTTTTGTAATCTAATTAATCTGACTAACTAATCTGACCAGTTTCTTGTGTATCTCTATATTTAAGTTTAACTATAAAATATCTTTGTGAAAAACTAAAGTTTGAACAGAGGGACACAGCATTATATTTAGGAAACAATCTTAAACTCGTCATTTTTACCTCCATGGCTGGCAGAGCCGTACATCGGGAGATTAAATACAGACTCCTGCATTAATCCCATAAGGAGGTTTTGTCGCAGAGGCCAAGTGCGTCGTTTTAGGTCAGACAACAGCACGAATCTAGCTGGATCAGAGCGAGCGTCAAAAGAGGCCTTAGCTACCATGGACCATAGCAGGATTCATATCACTCCTGCAGGAGTATTGACTGGACTTTTAACCCCCATGCTGCTTTCCACCATTGCAGCGTTTGGGAGCGACTCATTAGAATGGTCAGGAAAATAATGTTTTCTGTGCTTCAAACATAATGACCTCCCCATAACTAAGGTTTCTGATGACGTCAATGACTTGGAAGCTCTCACTCAGTGCCTCTAGTTCAGTACCTGTCAGACCGGTTCTGGAAACGATTGACAAGGAAGTACTTGTCGCTACTGCAGGTACGACAAAGGTGGACAAAGCCGCAAAGAAGTTTTGTATCATAGGACATTGTCATTGTCATGGATCCAACTGCTCCTCGTGAGTTATGGATCATGGGAAGAAATACCAAGACAGGACAGTTGGAGCGGCCTATATGAACGATTGTTCTGCTTCAAGAAGCCGTGTAAAGGTCAGGACCAAACCTTGTGTCACGTGTTGGTAACACCTGACGAAGAAAGAGGGACATTTTATTTTTAATTTGTTTATTTGTTAATTCATTCAATTCACATACTTTTCCCAATTAGGGGCCGGTGTGCAGGAGCCATTCGTGATATTTGTGTACAACACGGTACTGGGAGCCGATCTCAGGTTGGCCACAGGTGACAGTGTGTATTATTGGGACAGGGAGTCTATATAAGGGGCACAGGAGCAATTGATACAGGTAATGATGCTACCAAAGACGCACAGCGAGATCAGGAACCAAATGTATATGCAGTTGTGTTTTATAAAGTATAAAAATAATAAACGGGAACTTCACCCAAAGAAATGGAACGACCAGGAATCTCTGTGTGAGCGAGTGAGGAACAGGATCTTCTCCTGCAGAGTGGCTCACGAAAATCTGTCACTACACTATTTTAGTTTCTATCGGTATCAGGTGGATGAATAGAATCCAAGAAGATTAGAATATTATTTAAAATGATCAGCACAGTAAAAATGTTTCACAATCTTCATGTCCTCTGTGTCTGAATTCATATTCATGAGTTTTTATTTCAGCACTGGTCACTAAAATGTTTTGCAAATCTGTCCGAGAATAAATATATTTCCTGTTAAAACATCAAATACTGCAGAGAGATGCTGGACGTTTGAGGCTGATTCTGATTAATATAGTCTGAATATTAAATATTTCAGCTGATAGTATTTTTAATATAAACACATGACCTAAACTCACTGGATTCAGATTGATAAATTGTTGTTTTTAGTAAACGAGATACAAACTAAGAGTTTAAAATGAACTTTTGCTCTTCCGGTTTATTAATGAGCTCAGACTGAGTTTGACATTTCTTCACTTGTCTTTCTTCTCACTCATCAGACAACATGTAAACACCAATATATCTGCAATAAGATAATATCTACAAGTAATATTGATGACTGATTCATCAGCATCAGTGTGACGTCATCAGTGATCTGCCGCGCTACGTCATGCTGCCATGTCCGCTTCAAGAGCGATCCGTCCGTTTAATGTCCCGAAGACAGAGACAGCAGAGTGAGACAAACACGCTTCTGTCCTTCACACAAACTCACGAGAGGAAACACGCGCGCACTTTGACAACATGTGTTACTTTTTACAACTTTGTCTGTCGTCATCGAGAGAGTCCTGAGCTAAACATCAGAGACATCAGAGACACTTCAGCTGATGTCTGCAGCCTATGAAGACACGAAGCGTCTCTTCTTCTACAATCAAACACCTCATTAAACAAAGCGTCAACTCACGTGCTGCAGCGCCGTGAAGGCTCATCATCAGGAGAGACAGAACCGAGATCTCCGCCCCGACAAGTCGCATTTTAACGTCCGCTTGTTTCACCGGGAAGGAGAGAAGTAGTGATGAGATGTGCCGACGCTTCGACGCGCGTATCGAGGCTCGCTTCATTTAGGGGAGGAGTTTCTTATCTTATTCAAAGGTGAGGTGTTTATTGTGCTCCACGGAGTTGGGTTACAATAACAACAGCGAGGATAAGGAGGAAACTGGAGCTTCAGCCATGATAAGTCATCACAATATTACAAATGCACCAACACGATTGTTCCCTGTTCACTTTTGTTTATTGTGCAAATAAAGACCGGTAACAGAAACTGTATTTATTCTCTTTTAACCAGCCACCAGAAAACAAGAGCTGGATGAAGCCTCGTCTCCATGATAGTGAAGGACACACAGCCCTTCAGTATTGTGGATGATGTTGGATTCAGGGCAATTTCTAATAAGGTGACATGTGTGGTCACTGATGATGCTCCCAATATGGTTGCCTGTGTGAGAGAGCTGAAGCTTCAGCACCATGTTTGCGTTGCACACACACTGAATCTGATAGTGAAGAAGGCACTTGACCTGTTATTTACACCAGACCGCTCAGAGTGAGTGCACAGTATTTTACACAGTATTTTACTGTGCACTCCTTCCTATATGATTGTGATATTTTATCACAATCATATACAATGAAGGATCTTTGTTTAACTGAGAACGTTATCAGTTGTTCTGACTGAAAGTCAAACCCAGTCAGAATACAAGCTGCTAAAATCAGTCGTGCTTGTTGTGTTTCATGGTACTGAAATACTGCAAAGAGAAGTGATTAAACCCCATTAAAAGGAGACAAGACATGATCCTTGCTGTAATCTGATTATCTGGGGGGTTTATAACATGCTAGTTTGAGTTGCCACTGAGCCACACGCCTCCCTCTGAGAACATCTGCATGCTGCATCTTGTGTGCTCACTTGTTTGGACGTGTCAGACACACAAACACGTCTCGCTGTGTAAAACACACACACAGTTTATAATTTCATCACATGGAAATGTATGTTTTTCTATTTTGGGCTATTAATTGATTTATAAACTTTAATCCTCCAGATAGCATTTATTCTCTGGAACAGACAGAAGCAGAGAATCAAATCTTCCCAGAATGCAACCTGATTTATTCTCCCACTTTCTGTCTCTGGCAGTTCATGAGGCCTTTATGGCTGCACCTCCTTCAGGAGTCGGGACCAGTCCCAGAGCGCCTCTGCTGGACACGAACAGCTCTTCCCTCTGTGCCGCTTCTGGGAATCACCAGGGGCCTCATTTATAAACGTTGCGTACGCACAAAAGAAGACGTACGCCGCTCTCCACGCAATAATTGGTATTTTTAAAAAGCAAACTTGACGGAAAAATGTGTGGTCCTTCACGCAAGCTCGGACCCATGCGTACGCACAAACGGGTGAAATGAGAACCGTCAGCAAATGCAAGAAACACGCAATCAAATGAACGGTAATAAAATGCCATGATGCCGTCACAATGCGTAATGACGCTGATGGCTGATCTTGCGCTCTCAGACGTGCCACATGGAAGGATTGGCGCTGTAGTGCAACGCACCATCGGCCTGTTTAAGGGCAGATGGCGCTGCCTCGACTGCGCTGGAGGGAGGTTATTGTTTACTCCTGATAAGGTGTGCAACATCGTGCTGGCATGTGCTGTTCTACATAATGTGGCACAGCTTCCAAACGCGCCTCGACCCCCAGACCCGACCAGACCAGACCAGACCAGACTTAAACAGGCCGATGGTGCGCTGCACTACAGTGCCTTTTTGGCATTAGTAATGCCCACACTGTGCCCTCCAAAAAGCATTTTACTCCTTTCCACCTCAACAATGATCATTTTGACTTCACACTGAGTGAAGTCACGTTTCTTCGTTTTCCTCTCAGTGTTTTCCATGATTTCGCAATCGCTGAATATTAATTTGTGGGCGTTCCACAGACTATATATGGGCAACTATGGGCGTGACATGAAGCCGCAAAAGCTGCGCTGCATTTAGAAGTGATTGTGATTTATTAAGGGAAAACTGTGTAGGACGTGCGTGCGCCCGGTTTTATAAGTCTGAATATTTCTGTGCGTACGCACGTCCTATGTTTCATCCGTACGCCACTTTTGGCGCAAATCCTCCGCACGGTTTTATAAATGAGGCCCCTGATGAGGCCGTTGGGTGTTTTCGTTTTGGTGTCTAATGTGTGACACATAGTTCTGCCATGTTGTGCATATTTTGGCAAACACAACTTAGATCTCTGCCTGAAGCTTCTTGCCCTCCTCGCTTTGCCACATTCCTCTGGAGTCAATGCGACAATTCACACCCTTAAAAGTTCATTACTTCCTTCTTCCAACTCCAAACTCCTGGCTAAGTGGCAAGGGCCATTTGAGGTCACACAGCAGGTGGGGGATGTCGTCTATGAGGTAGTGCTGTTTGACCCGGGCGGAGCCACGCAAATATACCACCTAAACCTCCTGAAAGCCTGGAGGGAGGCAGAGTCTGTTGCTCTGGTGCCTAGTGTTGTTACCTCCCACCCTCCTGCTTCGAAGCTTGTGTCGAAATATGAACCAGTGCAGGACGAAGCAATTGTATCGGTACTCGGTTCGTTCGCTGCTGATCACGTGATCAGTGACGTCCGAAGCTTCGCTCCGGCTCAGTGACGTCATTAGTGACGTCCGAAGCTTCGTTCCGGCGCACAGTCACGTGACCGCTTCGAATTGATTCAAATGGGCGCGAAACAGGGTTCGGGCTTGTCTGTTTGATACAGTCAAAGTCAGTGTTGTTGTAGTAGTAGTAGCAAATTTACAATGGAACCTGTGGCAAAGAGAGGTCGCTTCGAGATGTGGGAGTACTTCAATTTGATTTCCTCTAACAAGGTTTATAATAGGCAGACAAAGTCTGTCATTTGTATTGTGTAATTATGGATGTTTATTTTTATTGTGGAGACCACCCGATATTTGGCTGAATCAAACATTCCACGGATATATATATATATATATATATATATACATATATATAAAATCTTTTATTTATATTATATATCTTCTATTAATTATTCTGCTAGTATGATCACAAACATACATGCAAAGGTGCAGAAAGATATAGATAAGTGTTTGTTAAACTTCTTTCCAATGTACAGAGAATTGAAATACACAAACAAGGACACAATTCAAACCTGAAAAAAAATAGTTTTATTCATATAGGAATCCATGTATAATCATGTTAAACCCACAGAGACTGGGCCAAAATATACTGGTGGGCTATTCGATACATTTGCACTACAAGTTTTCAACAGCAGAGATCATCATAGAGTTTGCGATGCATTGAATGAATGAACCTTTTTCCGATACAATTGGCTGGAAAGCTTCACTTTGCCATCACTACTGGTGCCTGCGGTACCAGAAAGACAGGAGCTGGGGCCGGAGGTGCCAAAAGCGGTTAATCCCACCCTGCTCCCGTACGAGGCCCGTCTCTCTGAGGACCAGAGAACACACATTGCCCAGATGTGTTCTTCATGTGGCTCCACCGCATGAAGGATACCAACGGATCACTCGGTGGCATCTGGCTCTACAACCATGTAACTTCAAGGCGGGCCATAGGCTGGGGGCGCAGGGGGTATGTGGTGGGGGGCGTGGTTTTGGCTCGTCTGCAGAGGGGAGAGAGAGAGGGGGAGTGGCTCAGTGAACGGTGCCAGGTGGAGGCGATTGGCCTCAGCTGAGCTGAATGTTGATTGATTGTGTTTGTCTTGTTATTTAAAACGCAGTAAGGGCGATCGGGGCAAGAAGGGAGCCGCAAAACGAGCGAGCTAGACGCCGGGAGCGCTGTGTTTTGAGGAGCGTAAGAAGCAAAATAAAAGTATTGTCAACTAAACCTGCCATGTCCTGCCTTATTCCGGAACCCCAAAAACCCACACCCGTGACAACATGTATGCATTTTAGGGGGTTGGACATGCTGACAATAGAAGATCAAAGCACCCGCCTCATGATTAGAGGACGATCTCTACCAACTGAGCCACAGCTCCTACTGGCTGTCTTCTTCTAAATCGCTTTTGAAGGACTTCAAAATAAGTAGAAGACAACTATCACTGCCGCAAATGTATTTGTTTATGTCTTGGTCCCATTCTGTTAACTGTCAGGTGGTGGACCTTAAAAACGTCTCTTTTAGACTAAAATGTTGAGATTCTTACTTCTTTCAAGCAGGAAGTGATCTCGACCTCGATCACGCCTCCTGAGGATTCACCTTGACGGCCCACAAACCCCCTGTACTCCCCCTCCACTGCCTCTCCAATTGGACGAGACACAGACACACAGCAGGTTCTGATTGGTTTCAAGGATGCAGCCTGTTGCTGGGCGGTTTCCATGGAAATCACTGTCATCATGTGGATGTAGAAACTGGACTAAAGGATACGGAAACCGCTTTGAAATCGGTGTTATATTTCTTTGTGATGCAGTTAAAATGGCACACTTTTCTCAGATGACATCTCACTCTGCATCCCAATTGTCCTCCTGCAGGATCCAACCTGCTGAACTTGTTCAAAGGCCTGCCCTCACATTCAACTCTTCAACTGTGCAACTAAACTAACCGGTTAAATCTATAAAGGGTACCAGAGGGATGAGTTGGGCTCTTGAGATCAAACATACTGTATATGATAATAATGGGGGCTGACTGTACTATTAGTTTGGCCCACGCATTGATCTGCCACAACATAAAAACTGCCTCTAATTAAGAAAAAAGTGGCCCCTTAAAATGAAAGAAATGTTTTAGAATGATTACATTGTATTCGGCAACATTATCATGTCCATTTTGATTTTAGGAGCACTATTCCCTACATCCTTGCTTTTTGCTCTTCCTCAGCTCATAAAGTGTTTGAATTGCGACTTCAAATAGCTGGTGGGAATCCTCTGATCTACAGTAAAGCCTGAAGAAAATAATCAGAGGCAATAATTAAGAAGAAATATTTGGAGGGAGAATCGCAGAGGGAGGGATATGGAGTGATATGGAGAGGAGAGAGACTAATGGACCGAGAAGACCAAGAGTCCATATTCGCTTACAAGCGCCAGCAGATATCCGATTTAACTCACAAATAGTGTTTGTATTTTACGGT